GAAGGGGGTACCGCCCTCAGACGACACTAACCTCTGCTGCCAGGCTGGATGTTGACCCCGAATACCTCAGTCCCTTCATTTTCTGTCCACACTCGGACACTTTCGGAAGCTCCGGTGCCTCCCACATGAACCCAGTCTGAAAATCTCTACATGCCACAGTGGCTCTCCCCACATCCCGAAACTCTTCTCCCATCCTCAGCCGCAAAGGGAACAAACACCTTTTACCTACCTGGAAAGTGGGTGGCCCCCAAGCTCATAGAGGAATGCAGAGTTTGTTTGGGCCTTGGACAAAACCCAGATCATCTCTGTCAAGACATTTACAATGGATCCGTAATTTTGCAGCACCCACAGAGGACAGACTTCTCCTCATTTTACACATAGGGAAACTGAGGCCCAAGGCAGAGCAGACTGCAAGGAAAGCAAGTTTAGAAGAATCAGGATACCGACTGCAACATTACAACTTAAAAGCTATGCCCTGGTTTTTGATTCTCACACACACTTCTGTAAGGATGCCAAAAACCCTGTTTTTTTATGGTTTTCAGATAAGAAGCTGAGTTTCTTAGACGTGCTTCCCAACTTGAACCTGCTGTACAAGAGAGGTTAGGAATATCAGCAAGTGAAGTATCATATGGTAAATTGACCATAGTCCACACTAAAATATACACCTGAATGCAAAGTCTGAGCCCTTCCAGATAAGGTCAACTGCATAGGACTTGATGAACTCCTTAAAGAGGAGAGCAGAGTGAAGGCAGAGAGACAAGAGGTGAAAGGAGGCAAGAGCAAAATCACTCATACCCAAAGTAGATAGGCTGAGACCAGGGTGAGGTGATGTAATAATAAATAAATATATATATGAATATTATAATATTCAAATGATGAAGGGCTAGCCCTGAAACCAAAGCAAATGGAGGGAATGGCTGTCCAATTGGATGGCATGCTCTAGGTTGCCATTCCCCAGAGATAAAACTTCCTGGACCATGTTGTTGAGACTAGCAAAGAATCTCCAGGACACAAAAGGGCCCTCCAAAGTTAACTAAGAAGCATGAATGAGCATCCTAAGGAGCTACATTTCCTGGCCTGGAAACTCTTTCATCTTACATGAACCAAAGTTCCAGAGGCTAACATGAATCCATCTGGTAGACTGCCTGCCTTTGACCCTTCAAGGAGCAGGCTCCACCATCCACCTTTACTGTGTCTCCCACCCCAACAACCTCCTCCATCCCCAAAGAGTCAAACTTTTGGTTATCCTTTGGCTAATGCTGTTCCATGCTTTGCCAACATGTTCTGGTGGGCACACCGTTTGGGCATGGTTTCAGGTTCAGATGTGACCCCTTATAAGGTAAAGGAGGGCTGCCTCTGGCTCTCTTGGGTTGCAGTGAGAGCATCAGAAGGGCAGAGACTGCATCTTCTAGAGCAAGGAGACCGAGCTGTATAAGTGCTTCCCTAATAAATACCTAATTATCATTTATTTTGGGTCTGGTGGACTGATTTAAACCCCAACTTCAAATTGTGTGAGAGATCTCCAGATTTCTTCAAACTCAACACTACATCAGCAAATTAGCACTGCTGACCAAACCAGCTGGGAATGAAAACCATAATAGCTTTGTAAACACATTTAGAATCACAAGGTTTAAAGCACACTAATGACTACAATGGAGATATGCCTGGACTAACTGAAGCTAGGCCCTGATTATCCAGTTGCACCAAGGATGCAATTTCAATACATCTACCTCTCTGGCTACACTGAAGACATTTACTGGAAACAACATAGCTCCTCAGCGTTCCACCACCTTCTCTGTGACCATAGCGCCTACTGCAACCAACTTAAGCTGAAGAGGAACCATGGTTGCTTGGCTCAAGTGGGACAGCCACCACAAAGCTACATAGTGACACACTCTTGACAGGCATCCCATCAGTCCACGGGAGGATGTGAATCCACAGACAACTTGGGTCACTGAGCTTGCATTTGCAACTACACCAGGATATCTCAATCACTTGGGGTTTCAATTTCACCAGGAATCTTGAAAGCTGAAATGAAATGGCCCATATATGACAATGAAGAGAATCCAGGTGTTCTATGTAACCTGAGCACATATGTAACCTACCCTATAACATCTACATTGAGAACAGGTGTTGGTGGCGCACACCTTTAAGTCCAGCACTCGAGAGGCCTCAGAGGCAGGCAGATCTCTGTGAGTTCAAGGCCAGCCTGGACCACAAAGCTACACAGAGAAACCCTGACTCAAGGAAAAAACAAAACAAAACACAAAATGACATTTGCTAAACACTTTTTTCCCCCCAGATAATGCCATCTGTAGCTAAGGTTAGTCTCCAATTCATGATTCTAAGTGTTGGGAGTATAAATATGCACAACCACACCTAACTCCAGGATCAAACACTTTTTATTTGCTGTCTTCTTGCCTAAGGGACCTACACATATTTTCTCACTTAGTTCTCTGGCATTAAGTTCTATTTTCATTCCCATTTTACAGAAGAGGAAAAAGTAAGGTTCACCTAAGTAAAGTGCCCCTACTCCAGTCGCACAGTAGATATATGGTATGATAGCTAGTATTGTCAGTCTAACAGAATCTCCAGTCACCTGGGAGATGGTCCTCTGGATGTGTTTGTGGGGGGTTGTCTTGATTATATCAATGTAGGAAGACACATCTTAATACAGCATTTCCTAAGCAGTATTAATCATTTAGTATGTCGATAATGGGATCCCAGACTGTATAAAATAGAGAAGGCTGGACCACTGAGATATCTCCACAGGTAAGGGTACTTGTCTCATGGCCTGAGTTTGATCCCTAGAATCCATATGGTTGAAGGCAAGAACTGACTCTAGAAAGCTTTTCTTTGAGCTCCATACTTACAACATGTCATTCACATACCCACACAAGCACACAATAACTATGAAATGAAATGTAGGTGAAGTGAGCCTTGACCCTGTTTTCCAGACGTGGATATGATGTGACCAGCTGCTTCAAGTTCCCACCCTTGACTTCTCTGGCACAATGGACCATTCCCTGAGGCTGTGAGGTAGGATAAACTTTTTCTACTTTAAATATCTTGAGCTCGGGCCGGGCGGTGGTGGCACACGCCTTTAATCCCAGCACTTGGGAGGCAGAGGCAGGTGGATCTCTGTGAGTTCAAGACCAGCCTGGTCTACAAGAGCTAGTTCCAGGACAGCCTCCAAAGCCACAGAGAAACCCTGTCTCAAAAAACCAAAAATAAAATGAAATAAAATAAATAAATAAATATCTTGAGCTCTTAGACCAGTGAGTTTAAGACAGACAAACTGGTATAGTTTCCTCCAAATCAAAAAAGAACAGTTCCTTCTGGCTAATCTAACAGTCATGTGCATGAGAACCTCAAATATATGTTATGTGATTCATGAGTGTATATACACACACATACACACACACACACTGCATTTGGTTCACTGCCTGCCTTCCTTCATCATGGACAGAGAAAGTCTTGAGGGCTCTGATATTCTCACTGAAATGAAGAGCCTAGACAAGGCCATGTGCTTTACCAAGTGGACATCTTACTAAACACTATTCTTAGAGTTTGAATTCAGGCGTTTCCAAATCCTCTTCAGCTTTTTATCCACCCGCTGCTGAAAAACAAGTTCCACTATCAACATCTTAAATGACTAATTTTATTCAACAAATATTTAACATGCAGCTACTACAAGCCAGGTGATAAGTCAGGCAACACTGATCAAATGGCAGAATACAGGAGCCTGTGGACTAGTGAGGAAGCAACATACCCTCTACTGACTAGCTCTGTGAACTGAGAAGGTTCTCAACTGGTCGTCAGGTAAGTACTGGAAATGCCCTATTCTCCCTCACAAACACTGGCCCTGCTCTCAGGTCATAACCCAACCTGTTAAAAAAAATCCCAAGTCCACCCTTCAGACATGAATGCTGGTTGAAAACAATGTTGCTTTCTTTCCCTACCACCCCTGGGAAAAACAAGCTAGCCGGGAAACTCAGGAGCAGGGTGACCTTCCCCTTGCCAGCCCTATCTGTTCTGCAAAGTGCAAGGCCCATGTGGTGTAGATCTTTCTACAAGTCACTGAGGTGCCTAGATACGGTAGGTGTGTGTGTGTGTATGACATCCCTGAACAAAAAAGATCCCCTAACACAATACTCAGCTTCCTTTGCCAGAAAAATACTGCTGGCACAATGGATGCTGCTCTTTTCTTCTCGCTCTAAGTATCTAAGTGTAGAGCTGAAATATACCTGAAGCTTGTTTATCTATAAAAATACCGCTTATGTATAAAAATACCACTCCCTAGGGTGGCCAATGTGGTATTCGAAAACGGATGTGTGCTGGATCTGGTGCATAAAGTACCAGGCCCTTTGCCGGCCCATTACAATCGTCCATCCCACACACCGCAGCTAGGAGAGCTCCCACACAAGAGAAGAACTTGAGGAAACAGCAGTCAAAAATGTCATCCAGGTCGGTCTAGCTACCAACCTGCCCACTTTCCTTCAGGCTTTGTTGCAGTCTCCATGGCAACAAAGAAAGCAGCGCTGCCTCTCATTCTGTGATATCCTGTATGCTGGCTTTGCCTACAATAAAGCACATGTATGATGCTTCCTAGAGATGAACGTATGTTCTCAGAAAGCACAAAAACATTTGGTACTGCTCTGCAAAAAACACTGCTGAGTGACCCCCTGAAGAGGCGCTGAGATTCTACTTCCTGAGGGCGGGAGGAAAGATGCCTAAGAAAGGGAAGAACTCCCTTTCTTCCATACCGTCCTGCCTAGGGACCTTTCAGTCCCCGCCAATCTGCCTCCCACCTTCCTCTAACCAA